ATAATTCAAAAAATCGATTATAAATATATTCAAAGAAAAAAAAAAAAAAATACAAAAAATAAAAAAAAAAAAAAAAAATCAAAAAAAAAAAAAAAAAACAAAAAAAAAAAAAAAAGAAAATTCTACATCTAAGAAGTATAGTAAATGAAACAAAATATTCACCAAATGAGCACAGCAACAAATAATCAGTAAAACTGTATATCAGTTAAGAGAAACTACCTAATCTAAAAATGAGAGAGAGTAAAGACTGATGGAAAATAATCAGAACATCAGAGACCTGTGATATCACAGGAAATGATCCAATATCTATTTAAGGGGAATCTTAGCAAGACAAGTAATAAAGGAGAAAAAAAATTATAGACATAGTAGATGAAAAACTCCCAAATCTGATGAAAAACAGTAGGTTATGGTCCAAGAAATTCAATAAAATCTAACCAATATAAACCCAAGGAAAATTTCTCCTAGAAATAAAAGTTAAACTGCTGAAAGCCAAAGAGATAAAAAACAAATGTGTAACAGGACCAGGAAAAAAATGACACACTTTCCATAAATGGAAAAATGATAATTCAGACAGCTGAATTCTCATCAGAAACCATGACAGCCAAAGGAATTAAAACAATATATTTAATGCATTTCTTGGTATTTTTACACCAAGGAAGGCCAGCCTTGAATAATGAAAGTAAAATAAGCATATATGTAGAAAAACAAAAATTGAGGGAATATGTTGCCAGCAGACAACATATTATAAGAAATGTTAAAAGAAATTCTTCAGTCGGAAGAGAAATGATACTAGATGGCAACTCAAAACTATAGGAAACAAGGGTATGAGTAAATATAAAGAAAATCTAATTTTCCTTTCTTAACATAATTTAAAATTTTATAGATAAATATGATTATTTAAAGTTATAACAGTATATTAAATATATGTTAATAATGTATTAATATTAACTCATTAATTTTAAGAACTGTGCCACATTAACACAAGATGTTAATAATAGGAGAAACTGTGGGAAGGGGGACAGTTGATAAATGGGAATGCTGTATATTCTTTTCAAGTTTTCTGTAAACCTAAAATTGCTCTAAAAATCAGGTCTACAAAAGTTTAATTACTAATATAAGGCAATATAATAGTAATTATATCACTGTTCCAATTTTTGAAGAATAAACAAAATCATTAAAAGCAGCTTTCAACTAGGCAGTAATAGAAGAGAATTTCCTCAAAAGGAATATATGGAAAATCTACAACTAACATCATGTCTTATAATGAAAGACTAAATGTTTTAGGAATAAGGCAAGTATATGTATGTTATAACACTTCTATTCAAAGTTGAATGAGAGATTCTAGAACAAGGAATAAGGCAAGAAGAAGAAACTAAAAGCAAAAAGAAAAGAAGTAAAAAGTTTGTATTCTCAGACAACATGATCCTGTATGTAAAAAACCCTAAGGAATCTACAAAAAATATTACTAGAATACACAAACACATTTAGCAAGGACAGAGGTTACAAGGTCAAAATTAAAAATTAATTGCAGTGGGATGGAGCAAGATGGCAGAATAGAAGGCTACACTGATTGTTCTTCCTGCAAGGATACCAATTTAACAACTATCTACACACAAAGAAACACCTTCATAATAACCAAAAATCAGGTTTGTGCTTACAGTACCTGGTTTTAACTTCATATGGCTGAAAGAGGCTTTGAAGAGGGTAGGAAAGAGTCTTGAATTGCTGACACCAACCCTCCATCATCCCCTAGGCAGTGACCATGTGTGGTGCAGAGAGATAATCTGTCTGCTTGGGAGAGGGAGAGCACAGTATTGTGAGACATTGCATTAAACTCAGTAATACTTTATAGCAGAAAGCAAAACCAGGCTGAACTCAGCTAATGCCCAACCACGGAGGAAGCATCTAGACCAGCCCTAAGCAGAGGGGAATTGCCCACTCCCCAGAAGTCAGAAGTTGAGTTCCAGCTAGATTCATCACCATGGGCTAAAGTGCTCTGGGGATCTGAGAGGGTTTAGCTGTGTCCTCTTCGAAATCTCATCTTGAATTGTAGCTCCCATAATTCCCACGTTGTTATAGGAGGGACCAAATGGGAGATAACTGAATCATGGGTGCAGTTTTCCCCATACTGTTTTCATGTTAGTGAATAAGTTTCACGAGAGCTGATGGTTTTATAAGGGGTTTCCCTTTTTACTTGGTTCTCATATTCTCTCATCTGCTGCCATGTAAGATGTGCCTTTCACCTTTCACCATAATCATCAGGCCTCTCCAGCCACATGGAACTGCGAGCCCATTAAACCTCTTTTTCGTTATAAATTACCCAGTCTCACATATGTCTTCATCAGCAGTGTGAAAATGGACTAATATATGATCTAAATAAACCTGAAAGGAGGTCTAGGCCACAAGGACTGCAACTCCTAGGTGAGTCCTAGTGCTGAACTAGGCTCAGAGCCAGAGGCTGGGAAAACATACAAACCACTAAAATACCAGCTAAGGTAGCTAAGAGAGTGCTTGAGTCACCCCTCCCCCCACCTCACACAGCACCTCTTGAGGCTCCAAAAGAGACTCCTTCCTACTGCTTGAGGAGCGGAGAGGGAGGAGTAAAGAGGCCTTTGTTTTGCATCTTCGATACCACATCAGCCACAGTAGGACTGAGTACCAAGTCAGAGACATGGGGCCTCCTTTCCAGGCCCTTGCTCCTCAACAACATTTCAAGACACACCTTGGGCCAGAAGGGAGGAACCCCTCCCTGGCAGGACCCATCTCTTGCTGACTAAAGAATCTGGGCCATGAATAATCAGCAGCGATAGCCAGATAGTATGGGTGATGCTTGCATGAGACACTGAGAGTTGCTGGCTTTGGGTGAGATTCAGCACATTTGCAACTGTAATAGCGATGGGAAAAGACTCCTGCTTGAGAAAAGTGAATAGAAAAGTAAAGAAGCCTTTGTCTTGCCCCTTGGTACCAGCACAGCTACAGGATATTAGAGTACCAAGTGGTCGCTCAGTGTCCCCAATTCCAGGCCTTGGCTCTTAGATGACATTTCTAGGCCTTCCCTGGGTTAGAGCAGAACCACTGCCTCGAAGGGTGGGTCCCAGGTCAGGCAGCATTCAACATAAGCTGACTGAAGAACCCTTGGGTCTTAAGGAAACATTGGCAGTAGGTAGTCTGGCAGTATTCCCCATGGGCCTGTGGTGGTGGTGGCCATGGGTAAGGCTCCTCTGCCTGTGGAAAGGGAATGGAAAAGTAAGAAAGACTGTTTCTCATATTTTGACTGCCAGCTCTGCCACAGTACAACAGAACACTAAGTAGACCTCTAAGGTTTTAGACTATAGTCCTTGGCTCACAAAAGGCACCTCTGGACCCACCTGGGGACTGGGAAAACTTGCTATCCTGAAGGAAAGAACACAAGCCTGGTTAGCTTTGCCAACTTCTACTTAAAGCCCAAGGGTCTTGAGCAAACACAGGCAGTAGCTAGGTAGAGATTACAGCAGGCCTTGGGCAAGACCTAATGCTGAGCTGGCTTCAGGTCTGACCCAGCACAGTCCTAGCGGTTGTAGCCACAGAAGTGTTTGTGTCACCATATTCAGCTCCAGACAGCTCAGCATAGAGAGAGACACTCCATTTGTTTACAAGAAAATAAGAGAACAAGACTCTCTGCCTGGTAATCCAGAGAATTCTTCTGAATCTTATCCAAGACCACAAAAGCAGTACCTCTATGAGTCTGCAAGAACCACAGTGTTACTGGGCTTGTGGTGCTCCCTAAGGCACATACAGAATAGATTACAACACCCAAGTCCTTGGAAATAACCAGAAAGTCTTCCCAAGAAGTACTAGTACAAACAACTCCAGACTGGGAGGGCTATAATGACTCTTCAATGCCCAGACACAGGTGAAATTTGAATAAGCATGAAGACCATCCAGGAAAACATGATCTCATCAAATGAACTAAATAAGGCACCAGGGACCAATCCTGGAGAAACAGGTACATGATCTTTCAGACAGAGAATTAAAAATAGCTTTTTTGAGGAAGTTCAAAGAAATTCAAGATAATACAAAGAAGAAATTCATAACTCTAACAAATACATTTAACAAAGAGACTGAAATAAACTAAAAAGAATCAAGGAGAAATTCTCAAGTTGAAAATGCAATTGGCATACTAAAGATTGCATTAGAGTCTTTTAACAGCAGAACTGATCAGATGAAAGAAATAGTTATCTTGAAGACTGGCTATTGGAAAATAAGAGGAGACGAAAGAAAAGAATAAAAAATAAAGAAACACACCTGCAAGATCTAGAAAACAGTCACAAAAGGGCAAATCTCAGAGTTATTGGCCTTAAGCAGGAGGTAAAAAAAGAGAAGGGGAGGGCAGAAAGTTTATTCAAAGGAATAATAAGAGAGAACTTCCCAACCCTAGAGAAAAATGTCAATATCCAAGTACACGAATGATACAGAACAAGACGCAGATTTAACCCAAAGAAGGCTACTTCAAGTCATTTAATAGTCAAACTCCCAAAGATCAAGGATAAAGTATCCTAAAAGCAGCAAGAGAAAAAAAAGCAAATAACATAGACTGGAGCTCTGATACTTCTGGCAGAAGATTTTTCACAGGAAACCTTGCAGGCCAGGAGAAACTGGCATGACACATTTAAAGTGCTAAAGGGGGAAAAAACCCAAAAACCATGTTTACCCTAGCATACTATAACCTGTGAAAATATCCTCCAAATGTGAAAGAAAAATTCCCAAACAATGAGAGATTTCATCAAACACCCGACCTGTCCTATAAGAAATGTATGTTCTTGGCACTTTGGTCAAAAATGAGTTTACTAAACGGATTTATCTCTGGGTTCTCTATCATTTTCCACTGTGAAATCCTATCTCTACTAAAAATACAAAAAATTAGCTGGGTGTGGTGGCACACACCTGTAATCCCAGCTACTCAGGAGGCTGAGGCAGGAGAATTGCTTGAACCCGGGGGGCAGAGGTTGCAGTGAGCTGAGATTGTGCCATTGCACTCCACCCTGGGTGACATGAGACTTCATCTCAAAAAAAAAAGAATAATATCTTAATGGTGTGATGTGCCTTTGGAACAGTTAAAAAAAATCTCAAAGGGAAAACTTAATATTTCATAATGTTCAAGTTGTTACGTATGGAGCAATTAAGGAGAACTATAATCTAAGGTCTAGCAGACTAGAGAGCAAACCTGACCTAGTGATTAATGCTGAATGTGCTGCAAGCTTGGTTCATTTTTGTTTCTCCTCCTTTCTTCTTCCCTCATTAATTTTATAAGTTTACAGGGATGGTTTCATTTAGTAGATGGACCCTTTAAAAAGAATTTTTTTTTAAACCCATTTTACAGACTCCCATAGGATAATAGGTATCAGCTGTTATTATTTGTTGTTTTTAAGCATTAACTAAAGATGCCACAAATTTAGAAACATAATTTTTCAGTTGATGACTTAGATTTATTAAGTAATTAAGCACATTTGAAAATCTGGAATAATAGAAAATTTGTGTGAAATAGGAATCAGGGAAGCTCTTACAGAGAGCCCATATACCTGTCCTAAGTAAAGAACTCTTGGTTTTATCAAGTTGGATAAATTTCTGTAGAAAACTGCATTTTGCTGTCATTGGAAGCATCCTTTGAAATTGTGTGAGAAAAAAACTATTTTTAATTGTGAAAAATAACAAACAAATGTACACAATAGTCAATGAGTTTACTAATCAGAGTGGTTGATTTGGAGCAGTGTGAAGAAGAGGCGAGAACGATGGACTGACCAAAGCTGGCATGCTGCACCATCCCACGCCCAGCACCTACGTCTCGCTGCCGCCCTGTCGCCACCACCACCATGCCCAAGAGAAGGGCTGAAGGGGATGCTAAAGGAGATAAAGCCAAGGTAAAGGACGAACCACAGAGGAGATCCATGAGGTTGTCTCCTAAACCTGCTCCTCCAAAGCCAGAGCCCAAGCCTAAAAGGGCACCTGCAAAGAAGGGAGAGAATGTACCCAAAGGGGAAAAGGGAAAAGCTGATGCTGGCAAGGAGGGGAATAACCCTGCAGAAAATGGAGATGCCAAAACAGACCAGGCACAGAAAGCTGAAGGTGCTGGAGATGCCAAGTGAAGTGTGTGCATTTTTGATAACTGCGTGCTTCTGGTGACTGTACAGTTTGAAATACTATTTTTATCAAGTTTTATAAAAATGCAGAATTTTGTTTTAATTTTTTTTTAGGCTATGTTGTCAGCACACAGAACACTTCATTGTTGTTTTTTTGTGAGAAGGGACATAATGTCACCAATACAATGTCTCCGAAGCTGGACTGATGTGAGGAAAACACCTTCCCTTCTAGTTTTGAGAGACTTCCTCTTGGCTCTCAGGAAGAGGGATTCCCTGACTTTGACACACATGGCCGTCTTGGCACAAAAGCCTTGTGGTATGGAAAAACAAATTTGTTTTTATGTCCTCTTCTCCTTTTCCATCTTTCGGCATAGACTTAAATCCCTTGAGCCCAGATATCTGTCGGGACCTGACCCCCAGTCATTTGTTACCAGTGTGTCAGGCAATCTGGGCTTCCCAGTGATGCCACTGAGATGGCACCTGTCAAAAGAGTAGTGGTTCCATTTCTAGATTGTAGATCTTCAGATACATTCTGCCCTTTTCATTTCACTTCCTGAATGTCAGGGTCGGCTTGTGAACAGTTGTTAAACAACATGCTAAATGTGAAATGTCAGCCCTCACTCTCAACTTTCCCTGTTGGAACATCAGATGATGACTTCACTGGGTTTTATGGTGGCTTTCTGATTTTTGGTAGTCCATTGAAGAAAGGAGTTTGAAAGTTGTTGTATACTGTTAACAACTGTCTGCCCATGTCCTACCTGAAATACCATGTTTATGGAAAGAATCTTTAATAAAGCTGGATACAGTTTGGTTGGGGGAAAAAAAAAGAGTGGTTGATTTTGGACAGCAGGACTAGGGGGACTTTTTTTTCTTCTTTATACTTGTTTGTATTTTCCAAATCTTCCCTATGGTCACTTATTACTTTTAGAATTTAAAAATCTGTTTATAAAAATATGTAAAGTTCTGTTTTTTAATGACTATGTAGTGACTCCGTCTACTCAAAAGTGTCTTCAAAATGACCTATTTAAAATCTATCCCCTCGAAATATCCTTCTAAATTCTATCTTTTTTTGAACTAAAAATATAGTGTAACAACTGAAGAACAGGTTAAAAATGTTAACAAAATTGTAATTTAGAACTGATATGATTAATTTACATCCACTTTAGAAGTTTCTATGCTAGACGTGTAACATTAGCTGATGACTGTAACGTTTGTAATAATTCTGGTGAAAATATGGGTCTTATACAAAAACATAACCTATTATGGCACTATTTCTATGAGAACATCAAATCTGTTTTGTTTCTACTGAAAGCACAAGAACAAACCGTCTAGTCCATTTAAGTATTGTATACATGTTATGTTGATCAGTTTTTCCTATCTTTTGTTAACATACAACTCAATCTTCCTCAATGTGAAATCTGATTAATTTGCTGTCTGTTCTTTTTCCAGTAATTAAAATATCATGTAATGGTTAAAAATATAAATAAAAGAAAAAAGTATTTCCTTAATGTTAAAAATGTAGGCAAAGATACTGGATACTGGGGTTCTTTTAGGATTAAGGCTCTAGCCTGTCTAATTGAAGAAAATTATCAGTGTGGTAATGGTTTGGATTGTTTTACTTTAGAACAACTGTTCCCTTGATATCAAATTCTATAAATGATAAGGCCTTTCCTTTCCCAAGAATGGTAGCTTTAGAAATAGTTTTTCTATTTTGACCTCTACATTAAGAAGGACAAAAAATTTATTTTCCTTCCAGGTATTTAGTATATTTTCCAATATTCATCTCCAAATTTTCTTCGTAAAACCAATGTTATTTTTTTTAAAAAGACTCCACATTGATTCCAAATAAATAGGAAATAATAAAAGAATAATGACAAATGAGAATAAGAGAAAATGCTATTTAATTTTAAATTAAGTACTATAGTTATATAAATAATTTTTTTTTTTTTATGGAGTCTTGGTCTATAGCCCAGGCTGGAGTGCTATGGTACAATCTTGGCTCACTGCAACCTCTGCTTCCCGGGTTCAAGCAGTTCTCCTGCCTCAGCCTCCTGAGTAGCTGGGACTACAGGTGCATGCCAACACGCTCGGCTAATTTTTGCATTTTTAGTAGAGACGGGGTTTCACCATCTTGGCCAGTATGGTCTCGATCTCCTGACCTCATGATGCATCTGATAATCTTCATGAATTTTTCAAATGTTAGAAAAGCTAGATGTAGCAGTAATGACTCCCTCACTAAACAAATTTTTCCATACTACATAAATACTAGCTATAATACTTAAAACATTTTGAAGCATTTTCTTTAATATAAACTTTATATACTTAACATCTGTATAAAATGTTGACTATACTTTTCATTTCTTTTTTTTATATTCCGTAACACCCAAATTTGATATCTATTTGAAGATTCAAACACTATTTAAAAATGAGGCTGATACCTTAAGAGATAGAAAAAGTGTAATTATTATATATCCGCAAAATATATTTTCTTTCAAAAGAAACTAAACAAATGTGGGTAAAAAATTATATTAAGGATTACTTTTTAGGGAAAACAACACAAACTATTATGAAAATCCTTCTCTATTTGCATAGAAGGCTGTGACACAAAGACCTCCAATATCTCAACCAATCTCCAGCCCTATAATTCATGACTAGTAACAGCCATTTATCGCCTTGTTTTGAAGGTCACATAGAACACCTTGAAGAAACTTCTACATTTTTTAGTTTTCTCATCAAAATGACAATATTACTTCTTAATTCTTACACTAGTTAAGATCAAATAAGGTAATATGTAAAAGTGCCTATAACAATTAAACATCCAATGAATGATTGTTTATTCTATTATTTTTATTTATTAACATAACCAATGCAGTTCTTTCTTTGGTGACAGAATAAAAAAATTTTGTTTTCAAAAATTTAATTCCCACATTAGCAAAACAGCTCCACATTTGCTCATTAATATAATTGGTAAATTCCATGAGAGTGGATACTGTATTTGTAAAATTACTCATTGCCTAGTTTAAAAACATTAATGAAGATGAGACTATAATTATTATTTACTATTTCTTCCCTTGCTCATTTACAACTCTATGGTTCTACTTTCTAAGAAGTTTGCATACCTTAGGCAACACAAAGGTCCAGAAAGCAATAAAGGCTTAAAGACAAAGGTTGACTCTCAAGTCCAATTCAAAGAGAATGAAATATTCACAAACACAATAATCGACCTTTGTTTAAGCTGCCCTATTTAATGTGCTATTATTGTTTGAGTTACAGAGTGAATGAGGGTTCTGTGTTTTCATAAAAGCAGGTTTTACTAATTATGAAAATTAAAAATTCAAGCCAAAGTTCTTTTAAAATATTCTCTTCCATGAAAAGGACTGAATGTAAAATACAAAAAAATTCCTTTTTGTCCCTTTTAATAACAAATTCAGGTATATAAATAAAATTTCATAAATCATTCACATTTTATCAATCACATTAACCTGGCATTAGTATTAAAATATGAATCACATAAAAAAGAAATAACACTGTATTATGAAAAGGCCACAAATTTTCTGGAAAATTAAAATAAGGCTGATAAAAAAATACATAGTATCTATGTTTTTCCAGAAGTATAGGCAATATAGCAAGGAAATGCAATGGCAAATGATTATTCAATGTAAAAGACTTCTGAAGAGGTTACAAATCCATTGGTCCTTAACCTTTCATGGGTTACAGACTTTGAAAGTACTCATATATGGGTCACAGAAAAAATGTATATGCATATATATACAAAATGTGGCAAACAACTTCAGGAGCTTCATAGATCTTCTGAACACAGACCCTATACAGGTTAAGAATCTTCACATAGATCCTTAATATGCAGCGATTATTTTTACCATGACCCAGAGGTCCCAGGGTTTATGCTAATCTGTCAAGACCCACATTTGAATCACACTAACAGAAAGCTGTAAGACTGATGTGAAGTAACAAGAGCTCAACTAGCAAAGGAGCCTAGTATTCACACCTGTTTGAATCTGGCATCTGTACAACTCATATTAGTGGAAAAATTATTAATTAGTGCTTTAATGGTAATCACTAATATATTCAGAAGGTCTCTGAAGTTTTCATAATAAAAAAGGGTAGACTGTTTTTTTCATATGCTAGGGCTCTTTGGCAAGTTATATCATAATGGTATTTTAGCAGAAAGCAGGCCTATAAAGTACGACAAACCAATAAAAAAAAGCATATTATCTTTATAGATAGTCATTAACATATTTATTAAATCCCTAACAATATTAGCTTCCTATCATTGTGGAATTTACAGAGATAAAATACAAAGACCCAATCTTCTAAGAGTATTCACACCAGGATTATACCTGAAAATACAGACCCAAAAAACTGCATCACATAAATTTTATTATGGATATCCCAGAACAAGTAATTATAATGTCAGATACATATAGAATATTCCACAGTCTATAATCATTAAAATTCTGACACAGATTTTCTGATAGTCTTCAATGTTTGTACTAAATGATACACCACTATTATATTGAAGCAAACCATTAGAAATCCAACTAGTTTTCTTAAAGTTGGTCTCATAAAATGTGAATTCATTATTTAATTTGAAAAAAATTTCAAGAGTAATTTCATAAAATAGTATACAGTTTACATGCTTATATTAAAATCAGAAGTTCTATACATCTATCACCCTGGCCTATCTCTTCACTTTACAGGCACACGAACCTCTCTATCCAACCCCCTTCTATTCTGCATGCATGCACGCACACATACACACATGGCACTTCAGTCACACACACGGCACTTCAGTATCTTGTCACTGGAACCTCATTCCTGATCTTCATTCCCCTGGCAGGGCTGCTCTGCAAAAAGCCTCAATCCTCAGGCAACTGTAAGGACCATTACTGGCTTGGCTGTGTAGATATATTTACTTATACTCTTCAAAAGATAAAAGGATGCTTGGAGAGAAGATTACTATTTCTACTTTTATAACTTCAGGAGGGAAAAATAAAGTTTCTTGTTTTTCAAATTGTAGCTATGACTGTATTTTCCCATCAAACCACTGCTACAGATGGTTGTTTCACTCTATGACATTATTTATATTACTCTAAGTTACATTATGAATTAGATCAACTTTTGAAAGCTGGAACAGAAACCCAAAGGATATTTACCAAGTTGTGTTCAGGGGGAGGAAGTTAGAATTAAAATACTGATAGTAATAGTTTACTTCGTATGATGTGTACAGGGCAACATGTCAAGTAGTTTACATACATTCTATTTTAATCAACACAAAGAAGTAGGTATTATTACTTGACACATAAGAAAATCAAGGCTCAGAAAGTCCAGAGCTGGAAGTCAAATGTCATTCTATCTGATCCAAGTATGTGCTTTTAGCTATCACACTTCATTGTTTTGTATGTTTGTTTTAAGTTTTGAATATCATTGTTTAATATAATCTTTTTTTTTTCTTTTGAGATGGAGTCTCACTTTGTCTCCCAGGTTGGAGTACAGTGGTGCGATCTTGGCTCACTGCAACACCTGCCTCCCAGGTTCAAACGATTCTCCTGTCTCAGCATCCTGAGTAGCTGGGATTACAGGCACATGCCACCACACCTGGTTAATTTTTATATTTTTAGTGGAGACGGGGTTTCACTATGTGGGTCAGGCTGGTCTTGAACTCCTGACCTTGTGATCCGCCCACCTAGGCCTCCCAAAGTGCTGGGATTACAGGCCTGAGCCACGGCCTAATA